GAGAGAGCGAGAGAGGAGGGAGAGAGGAGAGAGATTTTAAACTCTTGCTCTCTTGCCCCATTCTTTTCAGTAAAAGTTGGTTGGTGTACTGACAACCGAGGTGTCCACGCAGATAAAGCTGCAGTTCTTTGTTTTCTTTCTTTTTGAAAGATCTGAACAATGAGATACTTAGATGGGTAGATGGGGTCTATCCTAGAATTCATTAGAAAACTCCAGATCTAATGGCAATGGAGGGGAGACCCATTCGCCTTCCAGAAACCAGTCCTCTGGTGGGAGTTTTGTGATTTTAGCTCCGTGCAGTGAAAATGAGGTGTGTGTGGAGAGATCTGGAAATCAGATTCAACGAATTTTGATATTCCTCCCCAGGGACTCTATTCGTGATTGTTATAAAGTTAGTTTTCACAAGCATTTGGTAAATCGGGTGATCAACACAGAATCTCATCTTGTTTCACAAAATTTGAGCCCCCCCAAACTAAGAAAGTGATTGCTGTAATTCTAAAAATTTCCCTTGCAGCATTTTGGGAATAAATCAGGGACCTTTAACAAATTTTGGTCTGTTTCTTTTCTTTTTTTTAGAGCCCTCGAGATTTTCAAAATCAGTTGCTGTGCTATGTATTGCTTCTCTGGATCCTTTGTGACACAGCTTACAACTAATTAAAAATTAATTGATGGTGGATAGTTTAGTGGGCTCAGAAAGTCATTCAGGCATGATACCGATTTAACAAAGCATTTAAACCTAGTTTCTCAGAGAAAGAAGGGCAGTTCTCTTACCTAGAGACCTTCATATTTGGTGGAGAAACCTAAATCATAGGATTCAAATTGAGAAGTTCAATATTTTGCCCCCTTGTAAATGTTGCAGTTGTCTGCTTGGCTTTCTCTTGCAAAGCAGTGCCTAGCAGGCTGCCTGACCAGTGGTGGTCTATTTGCAGTCGCCAGGGCAGGTGATAAGCACGTGTGAGCGCCGGTAGCCTCACTGGGCTGTGTCTGCTGACTACAAGGCTATTGTGCTGGAGCAGCGCCTCGGAAAATGTGAGAAGCCCGGGCTGGGGAGTGGAGGCCAAGGGCAAGAGCCTTGTAAATTTCAGTACCTTTCCCATCATCTGGCTGTGGCTGCTGGAACTCTAGGGTCACGGTGTGACACAAATTTGCAAGCCAGTAAAGCCCAACAAAGCTGAAGGCAAGAGTAGATTTAGGCCCACCAACCTTGAGGCCCGCTCTGAAAGGCTTTGCTTTACTCTCTCAGGGACCAGCCAGCTGCATAGCCTGCATTGGATTTCCGGCTGCTGCAGGAGGTGCTGCTGGCTTGTTACATCAGAGGCTCCCTTCTGTGGAAGTTGAAGTGTTTTAAATTGATCTCTGTTGTTAAGGGACAACGTATTTAAGAGCCTTTGTTCATGGTGCTTTTAGTGTTTCCTGCAGCCCAAAGATAAGGACCCTGGGGAAGAGGTCTGTGCAGGAGACATTGGTGTCCCCGAACATCCCGGAAGCCAGCAGTCAAAGATGTCCACACTCACTGCACACTGTTCTGGGGGATCCCCTGACAGGCTTCTCTGTCAAGGAAAGTCCTTAGGGAGGTTGGTTTGGTTGGCAGATTTCACCCCTCCCTTAGGCGTGAAAGTAAAACACAAGCACTTTGCTTGTGACAGTGATGATACCTAGAGCGGGTGCCTTTTCCATAAATATTTATAGTTTAAATAAATAAACTACAATAAATAAGTAGAGTTTAAATTGGAATAATAAAATAAAAATCAACAAACATTAATCACAAGCCATAAAATATGGAGACTACAGTCTTCCATGTGAGCAGGAGAACATTCACTAAATGGGCCCATAGTTGGGCCCTTAGCTTTCTGGCAGAAAGTTTTAAT